AACCAGCTAGAAAGCTTTAAATTGAAAATTGTATTTGTGATTATACAGTTGTTGCAGTCGTATGTCATATGGGATCGCAGAATTTACCTTTTTGTGTAACCACTAACCAACATTAGTGCAGAGTGCACATGCTTCTCCAAAATGTTGACCAGTACCAATTTACTGTTACTTTATTTGTCGAAATTACTGTTGGTTCTGAAAAGAGCCGATTTGATGTTAGTTTATAGTAACCACACAAGATTTTCGAGATCTGGCCCTCCATTCTGGATATAGTCACAGCCCTTCTTTTTTTATGTAGGACATTCCAAGCTCGATTACCTCAATTAGCCCTGATTATTGTATTTAAAATTTCGGCATTCTCGAATTCTTTGACTTTCGTAATTAGTTGTTTATAAAAGTTCTATGTTTTGAACTTGTGTTTCATTAAATATTCTCTCAATAATGGTGTTTGAATCGTCCCAAAATCGTCTTGAAATTAGAATTCGAGTCGATATTGTTGCTTAAATCGTCTTCAAATTCGAATTTAAGTTGCTACTGTTGCTAAAAGCAACGTTTTGCGATGACTTCATCAACATTTTTGTAAATACGTACACGTATATCAGCTTGGATTGATGCAGTGTAATACTAAAAATAACAGTACTGTATTCTCAAAATTTTATGGGAAAATGGAGTGAGGCGTTCCTGATTTAATCAATAAAATAAATTGACCCATTCATTATTTTTTTGAGTTCCATGTTTTAGAAAGTCTAAAAAATATGAGTGCAATGATCGATCACAAATAAGAACACATTGCACATTTTGGGTGGAATTTATTCTACAAAATTTTAAGATGTCGTCATCAGTTTTTTGGGGGGAGTAAACAGATATATTTTGATCAACAATTTACCATGCTTACAATAACTTTAAAACGTCTGCAAGATTTCAAAGTATTCAGTTTTGCTATTCTTGATTTATTCAATAAAATAAATTTATCGATTCATTAATTTTTTTGAGTCACCCTCTATGAGCAAAGCTAAAAAATTGGCCTAAAGAGTTTAGACAGTACTTCCCTCGCTGTCGGGAACGTGACGACTGCAAGCCTATTATGTCTTTTTTCGTATTACATTTTTGTAATTCTTGATTTAATCAATAAAATTAATTGACTCAGTCATTATTTTTTTTCAGACACCCTGTATAAGCAATTCTAAAAAATATTAATGCAGTGATAAATCACAAGTATATTCTTTACACATTCAAGCATTTTTTCAGCAAAATTTTGCGGTGGCGTCATCAAATTTTTAGGGGGATGAGCAAATACATTTTGATCAAAATTTTACCAGCTTCTGATAAATTTACAACATCTCCAAGATTTCAAAGCAATCGGTTTTGTAGTTCCTGATTAAATTAGTAAAATAAATTCATACTTTCATTAATTTTTTTAGTCATCCTGTATACGCAAATCCAAAAAATATGACTGGAATGATAAGTCTCAACTACAGACTCATCATATTTTGCACATACATTTATGATAAAATTTATTTAGCAAAATTTTGAGGTGACGTCATCATTTTTTTAGGGGGGATGAGCAAATACATTTTGACTAAAAATTTCCCATGCCTATGATAACTTTAAAACATATCCAAGATATCAAGGCATTTGGTTTTGTAGTTCCTGATTAAATCAAGAAAATAAATTCGCACATTCATTAATTTTTTTGAGTCACCCTGTATATGCAAATCCAAAAAATATGATGGAATTGTTGGTATCGTTGGGGATTTTAAGAAATAGCGACGGTTACGGTTTTCAGATTTTTATTAGATGCTTACGGGTTGATAGCTCGAGGAAGAAAAAGGAATGGTGTTTGAATTGTCGAAACATAGGTAGATTCGGTTTTGGAGACGGCATTTATTGTCCATTTTAAGACGTTTTTTATATTTTGATTTTTAGAAAAAAATATGCAATAAATAAAACGCTGAAATAATTTTATTTTTAATGACGTCAATAATTCGTTACAAAATGACGAATGAATCTAACGGATAATGGTAAAATGGTTGCATTGACAAAAACGTACAGCCTATCAGGAAAATCTCGTTGTCAATACTTTTTACAATGAAGCGAAATGTGTATGTGTAAATAGTAAGTTACCAAAAAGTATCGTAGTATTACAGGCATCTACCGGTATATAATATCCAATATTAATGTTATATATGTATATATGAATTCATTGTATTTTTTTTAGCTTACAAAGAAATCTGCTTGTTCTAATATGCAAACATAATCTTGTAATTCGTCAAAATTTGTTTAGGTGTGGTTTTGGCGGCATAATTTCTGTTTTTGTTTTCTTTTTCAGTTATCAGATTTGATGACGTTTCCATGTTGGAGATTTTTTCACTCGTTTCCTTTAGTATTTCTTTCGTTTCGCACATGTGTTTTGTATTTGTTTCAAATCTAAAATAAAATTATGTTCATTAGCATTAGTTCATAAAAAATTGCAGTAACATACCTTTGCAATATTTTATAGCGCCTCATTTTCAAAAACAATCACCGTATTTTCTTCATAATCAGTGGAAGTATCTTCAGTGATTAATGGTGGTCTTTCCAGCTTATCTGAAAAAACTACTTTTGTTATCTACATACAGTTATCAAAAATAACAGAAACACGTAAAAATTAATTTGATTACTTTATTAGATATTAACTTACCTACTATAAATAAGTAAAACCCACACTGAATGGCATAAATTTGCACAAAACTGCGTTAAAAATGAAGTGAGTAACGGATACACGAGAAAGTTTCGGTGGTTGAGAACCAACTGGAAATATTGGAATACTTCTCTGTGAAGTGCAATAAACATAAATACCGACAAAAGGGAAAGTCCGAATGCACACCCGAAACATCTGATGTATTGTATAGTAAATACGGATAAGAATAAATTTAATAAAACTGAATATTAATCACTCTCGAATTTTTTTGGTAACCGTCATCACTTTATAAACGTCTTTATAAAATCAAAATTCAACGAAGGAATTCTTCAAAACCTTGTCCCGTTTTAGGGACAATGGACAAATAATTTTTATGACTTTGTTTGTGCCGTAGGGTCTTTTCACTATTATACGCTCAACCCCGGATGTTCTATTTATAATTTGCCAAGCAGGTACTTGCAAAATAACACTTCCAGAGTAAACAAGTTTTCAGAAATAATTATTTTATTAGAAATTATTAGAATGAAAAACTTGTCTTTGGTGTATTTCTAATTAAGTCGTTGTATTTTTTGCTCTAAATATAATTAAGCATTATGAAGGCCACTTTTTAAAGAATACGACGACCCACGTCTAATTGATCATATAATCTATAAACAATGACGAAGAAAGGACGGCCTTTTGACGTCATTAATTGACGTTAGAAGTAAGTCATAAAAAGTAGTTATATAGTGGGGGTTCTAGACCAGGTCAAATGAGGTCAAACTGGTCCAGCTCCCCCATTACTTTTCATCGAGCGGTCATTGACTTTTCGTTTGTTGTCGACCTTGTCGGTGCACGTGGCTGACCTTGCCAGCTGGTCCAGCTCCCCCATTACTTTTCATCGGGCGATCATTGTCGCTGCACGACCTTGGGCGTTTATTGCCCTCGTTCATTTCGAGATGTATCCCCTCTTTTCGTTTAGGTCGGGGAGGGATCTCGGACGCAATCTCGCATCCCCACTTCTATTTTATACTGGTATAAAAGTCGATGGATTCGTCTGTAGGAATTAATTAGTTTTTTGAATTCAATTATTTAACACTTTGTAAAGTTGAAATGTCATCTTTCATTTCTACCTTGAATAAAGAGTCTCACTTGCAAGCTTTTGTGAGTGCGAAAACTTTAGAAGAAAATAAAAAAATTTTAACAAAAAATTTTAGTAAACTGTCTACAAAGTACGGTGACAAGATATTTGTGGAACTTGAAGAGTCTAGAACGATACTTCCACAGAGATTTACCGAAAAATTCACCGATTCAGTGATCAGCGATCTGAACCAGAAGATTGTGAAAATTATTTATTGTTATTTTTTTCTTGTTATTATTTAATGCTTGAGGGGATGAGCTTTTAAGTAAATTTTTATAATTTTTTGTTTAGTAAATCTTATGTAGGATTAGAATTTTTTATCATTAGGAGGATGTTATAATTGAAGATTTATTTTATTTATTTTATTTTTATTTTAAATTTTTACTAAAATATTGGTTTTAATTTTGTTTGATATGTAATAATGATTAAATTAGTATATATTTTGTGTGTGAGTAAATTTGTTTTTTTAGACGATAAAAAGGAACTCGGCAAATAGTTGTTTCCACCTGTTTATTAAAAACATGTCTTTTTGTTGTTGATTTAAGGTCAGGCCTGCCCAATGATTATTTAAATGGCCGCAGTACTTTGACTGTGCAAAGGTAGCATAATCATTAGTTTTTTAATTGGAAGCTGGTATGAAAGGTTTGATGAGAAATAAGCTGTCTCTTTATTGTAATTAGAACTTGATTTTTGAGTAAAAAAGCTTAAATTTTATATAAAGACGAGAAGACCCTATAGAGTTTTATAGATTTAGTGAGTATATGATAGGTTTTTAGTTTTTTATTAAATTTATTTTGTTGGGGTGATATAAAAATTAAATTAACTTTTTATTATTTTTACACTAGTTAGTGAGTATTTGATCCTTACTTTTGGATTATAAGATTAAATTACCTTAGGGATAACAGCGTAATTTTTTTTGAAAGTTCTTATTGATAAAAAAGTTTGCGACCTCGATGTTGGATTAAGGTTAATGAGTGGTGTAGCAGCTGCTTAATTAGGTCTGTTCGACCTTTAAAACTTTACATGATCTGAGTTTAGACCGGCGTCAGCCAGGTTAGTTTCTATCTTTTATGATTTTAAAATATTTTAGTACGAAAGGACCATTTATTTAAATTATATTTTTATTTTGAATTCTATTATTATTTTGGCAGATTAGTGCGATAGATTTAAAATCTTTTTATGTAATTTAAATTACAAATAATATTGGTTTTGAAGGATTTATTGTTGATTTTAATTTCTTTGGTTTTGTTAATTATCTGTGTTTTAGTAGGGGTTGCTTTTCTTACCTTGCTTGAGCGAAAGGTTTTGGGTTATATTCAAATTCGTAAGGGTCCTAATAAGGTTGGTTTTATTGGGTTGTTACAGCCGTTTGCTGATGCAATTAAGTTGTTTACTAAGGAACAAACTTTTCCTGTTATGTCAAATTTTAATATTTATTATTTTTGTCCTGTTGTTAATTTATTTATTTCTCTCTTTTTGTGAATGATAATACCTTTTTTAAGAGTGTGTTTAAATTTTAATTTATCTTTATTGTTTTTTTTTTGAGAGTTTCTAGATTAGGGGTTTATACTATTATAATGGCTGGCTGGTCTTCTAATTCTTCTTACTCGTTATTAGGAGGTTTACGTTCTGTTGCTCAGACTATTTCTTATGAGGTGAGGTTGGCTTTAATTATGATATCTTTTATTTTTTTGTCTTTGAGTTTTAATTTGCTTGATTATTATTATGTTCAGAATTATGGTTGATTTATTTTTTTGTGTTTGCCTCTAAGTTTAATATGATTGATTTCGGGATTGGCTGAAACTAATCGTACTCCTTTTGATTTTGCAGAAGGTGAATCTGAGTTGGTTTCTGGTTTTAATGTTGAAGAGGGGGTTTTGCGATAATTTTTCTTGCTGAATATGCAAGAATTCTTTTTATGAGAATAATCAGAGTTATACTTTTTTTAGGGGGTGATTTAAATTCTTTTATTTTTTTTGTTAAGTTGGTATTTGTATCATTTTTTTGGTTATGAGTTCGAGGTACTCTTCCTCGTTTTCGTTATGATAAGTTAATGTATTTAGCTTGGAAAAGTTTTCTTCCTTGTTCGTTAAATTATTTGTTTTTATTTTTTGGATTAAATTGATTCTTTCATATATTTTCAAAATATATACTTGTTCAAGTTCATTAGTTAGTTAATAATTTTGTCTCAAATTTTAAATGTTAGAGGATTAATAATGTAGTGTAGGAAGTATAGGACGGTAAGGGTTTGTCCTGTAATAATGTAAGGGTCTTCTACAGGTCGAGCCCCAATTCAAGTTAATAGAATTACTATTGATACTATTGATCAAAAAAGAGTTTTATTTAAGGGGTAAAATTGTCTTCTTGTAAATTTTTTTTTGTTTGTGAAAGGAAGGATGTAGAGGATAGCGATTGATATTGCTAAGGCGATTACTCCTCCTAGTTTGTTAGGAATTGACCGGAGAATTGCATAAGCAAATAAGAAATATCATTCTGGCTGAATATGGACGGGAGTAACAAGGGGGTTAGCTGGTGTGAAATTGTCTGGGTCTCCTAATATATAAGGATGAAGAAGTGAAAGTGCGGTTAGAGTTAATAATATGAGAAGAAATCCTATTACGTCCTTGTAAGAGAAATAGGGGTGGAATGGAATTTTGTCAATGTTTCTATTTAGTCCTAGAGGGTTATTGGATCCTGTTTGGTGAAGAAATAAGAGATGAATTATTACTATGGCTGCAATAATAAAAGGTAAAAGAAAGTGAAATGAGAAAAATCGTGTTAAGGTGGCATTGTCTACTGCAAATCCTCCTCACACCCATTGGACAATAGTGGATCCTAGGTAAGGAATTGCTGATAGAAGATTTGTAATTACGGTTGCTCCTCAGAATGATATTTGCCCTCATGGGAGTACATATCCTAGGAATGCAGTTGCTATTACTAAGAATAAAATCGTTACTCCTACTATTCAAGTGTGAAGTAGATTATATGAACCATAATATATTCCCCGTCCAACATGTATGTAAATACAGATAAAAAAGAAGGATGCTCCGTTAGCGTGAAGTGTTCGTATTAATCATCCTTGATTAACGTCTCGACAAATATGTGCTACTCTATTAAAAGCTATTTCGATATTAGGGCAATAATGTATTGCTAAAAATACACCTGTAATAATTTGGACTCCTAAACAAACTCCTAATAGGGATCCATAATTTCATAAAAGGGAAATATTAGAAGGAGTAGGAAGATCGATTAAGGAATTATTTACAATTTTGAAGAGGGGAGAATATTTACGTATTGCTTTTTTCATTAGTTTATTTGACGAATAGAACCTTGTTTGAAATTGGTAATTTTGACTGTGGCAATTAGAGCTAGTAGAAGGTAAAATATTATGAATAATAGAATTATTCTTAATGGAAAATTGATAAATTTATTGATTGTTAATATGAATTCGGTTTTTTGATTAAAAATCAGGAGTTCGTTGTTTGAAATTAATAATTTATTGATATAGGATGTTAATCAGGCAATAATGGGTAAAGGGGTAATAATTATTAAAATCTTAAGGTTTGTTTTAAATTTCTCGTTTGATGCAATTCTTGTTATATATATAAAAAGAATTAGTATTCCTCCAATTATAATTAAGAATAGAATGTAAGAAAATCATATATTTTGATTTATGAATCCTGTAGTTAGTCTGATTGTGATGGTTTGTAATAACAAAATTGATCCTATTGATAAGGGGTGTTTTATTATGATAAAAATAGAGGTTAAGATTATGTTTGTTGCGATAAGAATAGATAAAATTTCAAGAAATAGTTTATTAAAATATTAATTTTGGAGATTAAAGATGAGTGTATGTTCTTTCTTGATGTTTTTAAAGTTGAACTTATTTTTAGTTTACAAGACTAATATTTTATATTCAATTATAAAAACTAATGATAATTTTTAAGTTTACGAGATTTTTTATGTTTTTGGGGGGTTTACTAGTTTTTTCATTGAAACGAAAGCATTTACTTTTAATATTGTTAAGATTAGAGTTTATTATTTTATCTATTTATTTTTTAATGTTTTTTTATTTTAGATTTTTGGGTGGGGATTATTTTTTTAGTATGGTTTTTTTAACTTTTAGAGTTTGTGAAGGAGTTTTAGGGTTGTCTGTATTGGTTTCTTTAATTCGTACTCATGGAAATGATTATTTTCAAAGATTTAATGTTTTATGATAAAATTTTTATTTTCATTAGTTTTTATGATTCCTTTATCTTTTTTTTTTGATTTTTGATTGAATCAGGTAGTATGGTTTGTTGTTAGTTTATTTTTCTTGTTTGGATTTGTCTCTGTTGGTTTATTTTCTAGAGTCTCAGGTGAATTAGGAATTGATTTATTGTCTTATGTATTGATTTTGCTTAGTTTTTGAATTTGTATTTTAATGATTATGGCAAGAGAAAAAATTTATCTTAAAAATAATTGATATGGTTTATTTTTATTTGTTGTTTTAATTTTAATGATTTCATTATTTTTGACTTTCGGGTCTTTAAATGTTTTCTTATTTTATTTTATTTTTTTGAGGTTAGGCTAATTCCTACATTAATTTTAATTGTAGGATGGGGTTATCAGCCTGAGCGTTTACAGGCTGGGATTTATTTGTTGTTTTATACTCTTTTGGCGTCTTTGCCTATAATGGTTTCTTTATTTTTTTGTTATGATTGTTTCGGCTCTTTACATTATTATTTTTTTAATGATAATGTTGATAGGTTGATTATTTACTTACTTATTAATTTTGTTTTTTTTTATTAAGATTCCTATGTTTTTTGTTCACTTGTGACTACCAAAAGCTCATGTTGAAGCCCCAGTTTCGGGTTCAATGATTTTAGCTGGAATTATACTTAAATTAGGAGGTTATGGTATAATACGACTTATAATTATTTTTTCTTTAATTGGAATAAAGATTAATTTATTTTTTATTAGTTTGAGATTGGTTGGGGGTTTTTATGTGTCTTTGATTTGTTTACGTCAAAGAGATATAAAATCTTTGATTGCTTATTCTTCTGTTTCTCATATGGGATTAGTGTTGGCTGGAATTATAACTTTGAATTATTGAGGGTTAAGAGGGGCGTTAGCTATAATGGTGGCCCATGGTCTTTGTTCTTCTGGGCTTTTTTGTTTGGCTAATATTTGTTATGAACGTTTGATGAGACGGAGTTTATATATTAATAAGGGATTAATTAATGTTATACCTAGCTTGTCTTTACTTTGATTTTTACTTATTTCTTCAAATATGGCTGCTCCTCCTTCATTAAATTTGATGGGTGAGATTATGCTTATTAATAGAATTGTTGGTTTTAGAATATTTAATATATTTTTTTTAATATTAATTTCTTTTTTTGGGGCTGTTTATTCATTATTTTTATATTCTTATAGTCAACATGGGATGATTTATTCAGGTTTGTATTCGTTTTTTACTTGTAGCATTGATTAAATACATATAGATAGACCCATGCTATTGTTTGGAGCGAACAGGCCAACGGCCGGCGAACAAGAGATGGCGCACCAACAGTCGGCCGTCAAACGCCGGCGAAAAGCTTGGACACCAATCGCGCGCGTAGATAACCCAAATCGCAGCAACAATACATTTAATAAAGCTACCACTCGACAGAGGGCGACGAAAACAATGTGTAAAAATCTCTAGTAAGCATTTATATAATTTGCAACGTTGCCAGATGAGCCTAACACAACTTTGCCGTTATTTCTAGTCGATTAGATTTTATTTCGTTTGAAAGTTTCTGGTGAATAAATGGAATTATTATAATGAATAAACAATGCAAACAAATTATTACTTGTTATTTTAAATACTTGTTAGTGTTGATGAAAACATAAATGGTAATTAAAGTTATTCTAAATACGGTCCGGTCCGGTAGCTCAAATTTTACAGTACGAGTGATATGTTTCAGGACGAGTAGGTAGCCGAGTCTTTAATTTCGAAACGAGTACTGCGAAAAGAGTTACCGGACGTATGTTGTTATGTATTTTATTTCATACTGTCAACATACTTTTTTATTCGATAAAATTATTATTTTGAGAAAAAATCCAAATCGAGTCACTTTTTCTGACATTGTTAGCAACCGCTCTTTGGTAAATGTTTTAATTTGTTTATTCGTGCAAATCAGCATCATATGTTTAAACACATAGTACTTATAACACTTTACAGGACTTATTGTTTTGTATAATCCGACTCGATGGACGAATGTTTTGTGCAATCCGTCTCGAAGGACCAATGTTTGTGCAACTCGGCTCGTCCTACCAGTATTTTTTGAAATCTGGTTGATACGACAATGTGATACCGAATTGTACTTTGATATTGCTCCAAGGACCTTTGTTTTCTGGCGTGCGAGATAATAGACAGCGTTCGGTTTCGATGTTTAATACAGGACGGTTACAGAAGTACTAAATTTACATTTGTATTTACAATAACAGGTAAAGCAAAAGAGACCCAAAAGGGTCAGTGGCCGCTTCCGGAAATGTAAGACTTGTCCTTTTTGGCCACGGATTAGAAGAGTGTCTCTTCTACCTCCGTGTTTTTGGCTCAATTTTATCGGACTTGTCCGTTTTTTTGATTTTACCGGAATAGTTCGATCCAGTAAAACGTCAAACTTGACATAGTATGAAGTAAAATAAATAAATTTTATGATGTAAATACAATTAAGTGTATCGATAATTCGCTACTGAAAATTTATTGAAATATAATTTGTGTTAAAAAAAGATTTTTGTGGTTTTATGGTTTATTAAATGTAATTAAAATAAATAATATCAAGAACTTGTATTATATATCAAAAACATTCATTGTAAGTAAGGAAATTATGTAAATAAACCATAAAACCATACAAAATTTTCCTGCGACCTCTATTCAAAATCCCAGTTTACCAATAGGAATTAAGGCACAAAGATGTTTCACTAAATTTATTACCGATTTTTCAAGAAAAGTATGCTTATAAGCCTATAAGCGTCTAATGGGTTAAAACAACAAATAATAATCACAATTTATTTGTTTTATGTGTTCATTACAATAATCCCATTTATTTACCAGAAACTTCTAAATGAAATAATATCTGGTTGACGAGAAATATCCGCAAATTTGTGTTAGGCTCATCTGGCAACGTTTTCGGTAGGTAGGTATCAATGGAATAATGCGATTAGGTATACTGACCGTTTTAAGGAGTGCTCGTCCAATAGTGCGTAAACTAAAAGATTTGGTAATTTTCTTGGAAGAGTTTGTTTCTTCAATGAAAATTTATGGTTTTTAATTCTTCGGCCGCTTGAAAGTCTCGCCATGTGAAAATAGATTATTTGATAACCTGTTTCGTAATAATTGTAAATACGAACAAAAGCATATTTGCATATTCTAAACAACTGGCCATATCGATTCCAAACTTGTACAGATATGTTTTTTATTGTTTCTGTTTTCAATGAAATAAATTTTATTTGCAAATTACCTAATGTCTAACGACATATCACGCATACATACTACCCCATTTACTATATTTTCAATCTGTGCATTTTTCGCTTCATTCGTAGGAGCCAAGTAAGAAGTATCAGTGAGACCGGCGGACTTTCAATGGCTCGTAAATGAAAAGATTTAGTAAAGTTTCCTAGAACAGTCTGTCTCTTCATAAAAAAATTTAGACATTTTTACTATGAAATATAGGTACAATACGGTATATTCCACTGTTTGTTTTCTTTGAGATACGACTAGTTCTTGTGCCGAAGTGAAACACCAAAAAGTCTAAAGTCCGGAAATCAGAGTGAATTTTAAAACACATAAAACGACTTCTTTATTTATTTAAATATTGTCCTGTAACGTCCTGTGACGTGGAATGGAGTTTCTTAATGTACAAAAGTATGTTAGATAATAACCGAAAAATTTTCTTGATTAAAACTAAAGGAAACACAATTATTACTTGGAATAAAAATAAAGAATATCAAGAACTTGTGGTACGTATTAAAAATATTTAATTTCAAATAAGTAAATTATGTTAATAAACCATAAAACCACAAAAATCTTTTTTTAACACAAATTATATTTCAATAAATTTTCAGTAGCGAATTATCGATATACTTAATTGTATTTACATCATAATAGTTATTTATTATACAAGCGGTTAAAGTGAATGTTTAATGAGCGGCCAGTTTAAGGCGAGAGCGGCGTATGCCGCGAGCGCCTTAAGACCACGAGTTACACATTCATTTTAACCGCGAGTGTAATTTTTATTCAATTTTGACAACCCCAAGTCCCAAATTGTGAAAAAATTGGTGATTCAAAGTTCACATTCGAGAAAAGTCAGAATTGACAGCGACCAAATAAAAGTTTTATATGCGTAGAATTTAGGTTACAATATCAGGTGTGTGTGTGTAGTATGTGACTCTGGCGACGGTGTTTGTTTATTTTAAACAAACTAAAATTATCGAAAAATTGCAAAATCATGCAAGATTCCAACGGCAAAACTTGCTCCCAAAAAAGAGCAAATCAGAAAGTGTATCAAAAGTTCCTTAGATGGAAAGAGCAGCAAGGCATTGGAGAAATTACAGAAATGGTAACCATGGTTTTAAAACAGCAAAATAAAAATTTTATTTCGCTAGCGGTTTAAAAATTTTATGGTGCTACCGGATAAACCAAAGCTTTAGTGGCCTACTGACGGCAAAATAAACGTTTGTTTACATGTCAAAATTGAATAAAATTTATTTATTTTACTTTATACTATGTCAAGTTTGACGTTTTACTGGATCGAACGATTCCGGTAAAATCAAAAAAACGGACAAGTCCGATAAAATTGAGCCAAAAAGGACAAGTGTTCCATTTCCGGAAGCGGCCACTGACCCTTTTGGGTCTCTTTTGCTTTACCTGTTATTGTAAATACAAATGTAAATTTAGTATTTCTGTAACCGTCCTGTATTAAACATCGAAACCAAACGCTGTTTATTATCTCGCACGCAAGAAAACAAAGGTCCTTGGAGCAATATCAAAGTACAATTCGGTATCACATTGTCGTATCAACCAGATTACAAAAAATACTGGTAGGACGAGCCGAGTTGCACAAACATTGGTCCTTCGAGACGGATTGCACAAAACATTCGTCCATCGAGTCGGATTATACAAAACAATAAGTCCTGTAAAGTGTTATAAGTACTATGTGTTTGAACATATGATGCTGATTTGCACGAATAAACAAATTAAAACATTTACCAAAGAGCGGTTGCTAACGATGTCAGAAAAAGTGACTCGATTTGGATTTTTTCTCAAAATAATAATAATATTATCGAATAAAAAAGTATGTTGACAGTATGAAATAAAATACATAACAACATACGTCCGGTAACTCTTTTCACAGTACTCGTTTCGAAATTAAAGACTCGGCTACCTACTCGTCCTGAAACATATCACTCGTACTGTAAAATTTGAGCTACCGGACCGGACCGTATTTAGAATAACTTTAATTACCATTTATGTTTTCATCAACACTAACAAGTATTTAAAATAACAAGTAATAATTTGTTTGTATTGTTTATTCATTATAATAATTCCATTTATTCACCAGAAACTTTTAAACGAAATAAAATCTAATCGACTAGAAATAATGGCAAAGTTGTGTTAGGCTCATTTGGCAACGTTGCAAATTATATAAATGCTTACTATGAGATTTTTACACATTGTTTTCGTCGCCCTCTGTCGAGTGGTAGCTTTATTAAATGTATTGTTGCTGTGATTTGGGTTATCTACGCGCGCGATTGGTGTCCAAGCTTTTCGCCGGCGTTTGACGGCTGACTGTTGGTGCGCCATCTCTTGTTCGCCGGCCGTTGGCCTGTTCGCTCCAAACAATAGCATGGGTCTATCTATATGTATTTAATCAATGCTTGTAGGTTTCGAGAATTTTTATTGTTATCATTGCATTGAGTTCCATTAAATTTACTTGTTTTAGTTAGGGATTTTATGGTTTTATGGATTTATCTAGGTACTTTAAATAAAATTTTGATTTGTGGAATCAGAGATATACTATAGTATTTTAGATAATATTGAATATTTGTTTAATTTATTTTTATTTTATAACCGTATTTAGATTGATTTTGTTTTTTGTTAGAATTAATTTTATAATTTTGGATTTGACTTATTTTTTAGAATTTAATTTGGTTATGATTAATTCTTCGTCGTTTGTAATGACTTTTATTTTTGATTGAATGTCTCTTTTGTTTATGAGTTTTGTATTGTTTATTTCTGGTATGGTTATTTATTATATTCGTGAGTATATAAGAGGAGATTTATATTTAAATCGTTTTATTTTACTTGTAGTTATATTTGTAGTTTCAATAATGTTGCTTATTATTAGTCCTAAAAATTTAATTAGAATTTTATTGGGCTGGGATGGCCTAGGTTTGGTTTCTTATTGTTTAGTTATTTATTATCAAAATGTAAAATCATATAATGCCGGTATGTTAACTGCTTTAAGAAATCGAATTGGTGATGTTGCTTTATTAATGGCCATTGCCTGAATATTAAATTATGGTAGATGAAATTATGTTTTTTACTTAGAAGAATTGAAGGGTAGTTTTTATATATCTATAATTTCTTATTTGGTTTTGTTGGCTGCTATAACTAAGAGAGCTCAGATTCCATTTTCTTCTTGGTTACCTGCAGCTATGGCTGCTGCTACTACTGTTTCTTCTTTGGTTCATTCTTCTACACTGGTAACTGCGGGTGTGTATTTGTTGATTCGTTTTAATTTTGCTTTTAGAAGTTATTTGATGTATTTATTGCTTTTTATTGCTATGATGACGATGTTTATATCTGGGATTGGGGCTAGATTTGAATTTGATTTAAAAACAATTATTGCTTTATCAACTTTAAGTCAGTTAGGATTAATAATGAGTATTTTGGCGTTGGGTAGATATAAGTTGGCTTTTTTTCACTTGCTTACTCATGCTTTATTTAAAGCTTTATTGTTTATGTGTGCTGGTAATGTTATTCATAATTTAGGTAATTGTCAAGATATTCGTTTTATGGGCGGGTTAGTAAAATTTATGCCTCTTACTTGTGTGTATTTTAATATTTGTAGTTTATCTTTATGTGGTTTACCCTTTTTGAGAGGATTTTACTCTAAGGATTTAATTTTGGAGGTAATGTCAATAGGGTATTTAAATTTGTTTGTTTATTTAATTTTTTATTTATCTATTGGGTTTACAGTTTGTTATAGAGCTCGTCTTGTTTATTATAGATGGGTAGGTAATTGAAATTTTTTTTCTTTAGGAAGAGTTTCTGATAGAGGGGTTATTATACTTAGGTAAGGGAATAAGAGGTTTAATTTTACTTGTTGTTTTTATGGGTAGATTGTTGGGGTGAATTATGTTTCCTTTTCCTTATGTTATTATTTTACTTTTCTATATAAAGTTAATGGCTTTAATTATGGTTTTTTTAGGAGCTTGAATTGGATATGAAATGTCAAAGTTTAATTTAAGTTATAAAAATATTTTTGCGGATAACTATGGTGTTTCTTGATTTTTATCAGGTATGTGAAATATGCCAGTAATTTCTACTTTTGGAGTTAATTATTACCCTGTTGTAGGAGGTTCTGTTCTTTATAAGACATTTGATCAGGGTTGAACTGAATATTTTGGTGCTCAAAAAATTTATGGTCTATTAGTGAGGGGATCTTCATTTGTTCAAATTTTAATGTATAATAGAATTAAAATTTTCTTTGTTTTGATGTTGTTTTGAGTTATATTATTACTTATACTTTAACTTGGATAGCTTATATAGAGCATGATATTGAAGATATCACGGAAATTATTAAATTTTCAGGTATTTATAAATGTTAATTAATTTTACATTGAAAATGTAATGTTTTTTTTAAACTATATAAATAGAAATATAAACATGTTAATGCTTTTTATTAAGTTAGAAGCTTATTTTTGTATATTTCTTTAATTGGAACTTAGTTCAGTTTTATCATTAACAGTGATATACCTCTATTTTGGTTTCAATTAAAAATAACGATTATTAAAATCAAATTTTTAGGTCGAAACTAAATGCAATTCTTTGCTTCTTATTTAAGATAAATTGATTAAATCAATTATTTTTAAGTGCAAATTAAATGTTATTATTAACTATTATCCTAGTTTGTTCAGTTAAGGGCGCCTTGTTTTCATTCGTGAAATAGGCCAATTAATAAGATTGCAATGAAGACTGATGTTGTAATAAAATATGATATAAGAGAGTTTGATTTTAGAGTGATGATTATTGGTAATAATAGGGTGATTTCTACGTCGAAAATTAAGAAAATAATAGCAATGAGGAAAAAATGTAGTGAAAATGGTAGTCGAGAGGAAGATTTGGGGTCAAACCCACATTCAAAAGGAGATCTTTTTTCTCGGTCTGTAATGGTTTTTTTAGATGTTAGGTTTAGAACTATAATTAGGATGAGTGTGATTAATCTAATAACTGTGGCTATAATGAATAGAATTTGGATTATTTATACTATTTTCTAGATCTTTTGATTGGAAGTCAAAAATAATTTTTATACTATATAAATATCTACCTCATCAGTAAATTGAAATGTAAAGGAATAGTCATACTACGTCTACAAAATGTCAATATCAGGCTGCGGCTTCAAATCCAAAATGATGAATTTGTGAAAAATGATTGTTAATATGACGAATTAAACAGACTAGAAGAAAGGTGGTTCCAATAATTACATGAATTCCATGAAATCCTGTAGCGACAAAAAATGATGAACCATAAGCTGCATCTGAAATTGAAAATGAAGAATCATAATATTCGAATGCTTGAAGGGCTGTAAAATATAGTCCTAGTACTACTGTTAAGGTGAGACCTTGAGTTGTTTGTTTGAAATTATTTTCTATTAGTCTGTGATGAGCTCAAGTTACAGTTAGTCCTGATGTTAATAAAATTAATGTATTTAAAAGAGGGATTTGAGTAGGATTGAAAGGTGTGATTCCCTTAGGTGGTCAAAGTATACCAATTTCTACTGTTGGAGCTAGTCTGTTATGAAAAAATCCTCAAAAAAACGAAATGAAGAAAAAAACTTCTGATGTAATAAAAAGAATTATCCCTCACCGAAGACCTATTGTTACTACATATCTGTGGTGGCCTTGAAAAGTTGCCTCTCGTGTAATGTCTCGTCATCATTGATATATAATTAATAATATTGAGGCAAATCCAATAAATAAAAGTGAGTTGTTATAAAAATGGAATCATTTGATAATTCCTGATATAACAATTAGGGCTCTTAATGATCCTAAAATTGGTCAGGGTCTAGCTTCAACTAAATGAAATGGGTGGTTTTTGTGTGACATTAGTTTACTTCTCTTGAGTATAATGTTCTTAGAACGGCGAATACGTAGGATTGGATAATGGCTACTGCTGATTCTAGTACTAATAGTAAGATTTGGGTAATTAGAAGAAGATTAATTATGTAAATTGATATTAAGTTTCCGGTATTTCCTAGAAGGGTTATTAGTAAATGGCCAGCAATTATATTAGCAGATAGCCGAATAGCTAGAGTCCCAGGTCGAATAATGTTTCTGATAGTTTCAATACATACTATGAAAGGTATTAAAACGGGAGGTGTTCCTTGGGGAACTAAATGGGCAAATATATGAATTGTATTGTTAATTCATCCAAATAGTATGAAGGATAGCCATAAAGGAAGAGCTAGGGATAGGGTTAATGATATATGTCTTGTTCTTGTAAAAATGTAAGGAAATAATCCTAGGAAATTATTAAAAAGAATTAGTCTAAATAAAGAGATAAATATTAATGTTGCTCCCTTAATTTTTGGACCAATAAGAGTTTTAAATTCCTTATGCAAGGATGATGTAATTTTTATTCAAAGTATATTTAAACGTGAAGAAATTAATCAGAAAGAAGTAGGAATAATAAGAATTCCAATTAAAGTTCTTAATCAGTTAATAGAGGTGATATCTGAAAGAATAATAGTTTAATGTGTTAAATATAATTAAGATTGAGGAAAATCAAATTATTAGAGTTAATCAATTTAGGGGGGCTATTTGTGGAATTAAAAATTAATATTTTATATTTACTTTAACTTGACAAGTTAATGTTATTTATTAACTAAATTTTTCATTAGAAGTAGGTGTTAATTTACTATTAAGTGGTTTAAGAGACCATTGCTTACTTTCAGCCATCTAATGAGATTTCAATTATTTTGGAAATTCATTTAATAAAGTATGCGGGAGAAATTCTTTCTGCAACGATTGGTATAAAACTATGGTTTGGTCCACAAATTTCTGAACACTGTCCATAGAGAAGAGTAGATCGAGTGGAAGTAAATCTAGCTTGGTTTAGTCGTCCAGGGGTTGCATCTACCTTTACTCCTAAGGATGGGATTGTTCATGAGTGAATTACATCCGCTGCCGAAACGATTATTCGAATTTGTGATATAAAGGGAATTACTATTCGATTGTCAACATCTAATAGTCGAAAATTGAAGTTATTTATTTCTTGAGAGGGAATTATGTATGAATCGAATTCAACATTTTTGAAATCTGAGTATTCATATGATCAGTATCATTGATGACCAATGGTTTTGATTGAGATTGTGGGGTTGTTAGTTTCGTCTAGAATGTAGATTAGTCGTAAGGAGGGAAGTGCAATAAAAATTAATGTGATGGCAGGTAGGATGGTTCAGATAATTTCAATTAATTGTCCTTCGAGAAGAAATCGATGGGTTAATTTGTTGAAAAATAGGCCTGATATTATTTGTCCTACTAGAATTGTAATAATTACTAGAATTAGAAGGGTATGATCATGAAAGAATGATAGTTGTTCTATTAGGGGAGATGCTCTATCTTGTAACAATAATAATTTTCATGTTGCTATTTCTAAAAAAAGTTTAAACTTTATATATGGGGTTTAAGTCCATTGCACTAATCTGCCATATTAGAAAGATGAGGATAGTATAGGAAGTTCAGAATATCTATGCTCGGCAGGGGGATAGTCTTGGAATCATTCAATTGATGATGTTATGTTTAGGGGAATTAGGGTTTTTCGAGATGCTGAGAATGTTTCTCAAATAATAAAGATTAGGAATATCACTCCAATAAAAGAAATAATTGATCCGATAGAAGAAACAATATTTCACATGGTATAGGCATCAGGATAGTCCGAGTATCGGCGGGGTATACCTCTTAATCCTAGAAAATGTTGAGGAAAAAATGTAATGTTAACTCCTACAAATATAGTAATAAATTGAATTTTACATAGCTTAGGATTTAAGGTAGTTCCTGTAAATAGAGGGAATCAGTGAACCAAACCTCCCATAATTGCAAATACTGCTCCTATAGAAAGAACATAGTGGAAATGGGCTACAACGTAATATGTATCATGAAGTATAATATCAATGGATGAATTAGCTAGTACTACTCCAGTTAGTCCCCCCACTGTAAATAAAAATACGAAGCCTAGGGCTCATAATATTGAGGGGGAGTAATTAAGTTGTGTTCCGTGAAGGGTTGCTAATCAACTAAAAATTTTGATTCCTGTAGGAACAGCAATGATTATAGTAGCTGATGTGAAGTAGGCTCGAGTGTCAACGTCTATTCCTACTGTAAATATGTGATGAGCTCAAACTACAAATCCTAAAAGACCAATTGCTATTATAGCATAAATTATTCCTAGGGTACCAAAAGCTTCCTTTTTTCCTCTTTCTTGTCTAATAATGTGGGAAATTATACCGAATCCTGGTAGAATAAGAATATAAACTTCAGGGTGTCCAAAGAATCAAAATAGATGTTGGTATAAAATGGGATCTCCCCCTCCTGCTGGATCAAAGAAGGATGTATTAATGTTTCGGTCAGTGAGAAGTATAGTAATGGCACCTGCTAGTACTGGAAGTGAAAGAAGAAGAAGGACTGCAGTAATTACAACAGCTCAAACAAACAGGGGCATTCGATCAAAAGTTATTCCTTGTGGTCGTATATTAATAACTGTAGTAATGAAATTGGCGGCTCCTAAAATAGAAGAAATACCTGCTAAATGGAGGCTAAAAATTGCGAGATCAACTGATGCTCCTCCATGGGCGATATTGGATGATAGTGGGGGATAAACTGTTCATCCAGTTCCTGCCCCTCTTTCTACGATTCTTCTTATTAGAAGAAGAGTTAATGATGGGGGTAGGAGTCAGAATCTTATATTGTTTATTCGTGGAAATGCTATATCAGGGGCTCCTAGTATCAGAGGAACGAGTCAATTTCCGAATCCTCCAATTATAATAGGCATTACTATGAAAAAAATTATAATGAATGCATGGGCTGTAACAATAACGTTATAAATTTGGTCGTCACCAATTAGAGACCCTGGGTTTCCTAATTTTGCTCGAATCAGAAGTCTAAGAGAGGTTCCGACTATACCGGATCATGCACCAAAAATGAAGTAAAGTGTTCCAATATCTTTGTGGTTGGTAGAAAATAATCATTTATTCGGTAATATGGCTGAGATTAAGCGATAAATTGTAAATTTATTTACGGGTTTGAACTCTGTTACCAGTTTAAGAATAGAACTTAAACCCGTAAATAAATTTACAATTTTTTCGAAAGGTTTATGTTTCTGTTGTTTAAACTTATTTAAATATAAAATGTAATAATAACCGTATTTAAATATAATTCCTATTCTATAAAGCTTTTATTTGGTAGAGCTAGTGTTTTTTTTTTTCGTTTTGGTTTAATAGTCAATAATGATTTTAAATTGCAAATTTAAAGGTAAGTAATTTTTTAAACTTGAGTATCAAGGCTTAGAATGTTTATTCTATTGGTAACTTTGAAGGTTACGAGTTTAATTTAACTTAAATCCTTATAAGATATTAATGATAAGGGTTGATAAGATTAAACTAAGTAGGGTAATGATATTGATTGTTATCAGGTTTTTGTTGTTGAATTTAATTGTAGATGTTTTTGGTTCGTTGATACTAATAATTATGGAGGATATTATTACTCGAATGTAAATGAATAGCATGATTAGGGTAGTAACGATTATTAGGATAGTAAGAAGGATGAAGTTGTTTTCAGTTATTCAGTTGATTACGATTCATTTGGGAAGAAATCCAATAAAAGGGGGTAGTCCTCCGAGAGATATAAAGTTTATTATGATTGAGAATTTGGTTATTTTTCTATTGTTTATGATGTTGATAATTTGATTTAAATAAAAGGATTTAGTTGTAGCGAATACTGCAATGATATTAATATTTATGATTGAATAAATAATAAAATAAATTGATCATGTAGCTAGCGATATTATTGATGTAGATAATATTCATGCGATATGGTTAATTGAGGAGAATGCAAGAATTTTATGTAGGCTAATTTGATTGAACCCTCTAATTGTACTTGTTAAAAGTCTAATGATGATGATAGAAACAAGGAAAAGTTCATTTAGGTTAATATTTATAATTAGTATTATTGGGGCAATTTTTTGTCAAGTTAGCAGAATTAAGGAATTGGCTCAATTTAGGCCTTCAATTACTTCGGGAAATCAGAAATGGAAGGGGGCGGCTCCTAATTTTGTTATTAATGCGGTTGTAATTATTATTGAAAAATAAAAATTTATTAAGGGGTTAATAAATTCTTGAGTTGTCAATGTTATTATAACTGCTATTAAGAGAATTAAGGATGCCATTGCCTGTGTAATAAAATATTTTATTGATGATTCTGAGGAAAATATGTTTTTTCTGTCTGAAAATAGGGGAATTACCGAGAGTAAATTGATTTCTAGTCCTATCCACATTCTTAGTCATGAGTATGATGAAATTGCAATGAGAGTTCCTATGATTATGGAATTAATAAAAACAATTTTGTAAATTTTAATTAAAAAGGGAAAGGTTTTACTTTCATTGACAGGGTATGAACCTATAAGCTTACTTAGCTTACCTTTTTATATCTTAGTATAAGACGTATAAGGGTTTTTGATGCTCTAGGAAATAGTTTGATTCTATTAGATATAATGAAGGTATTTTTATACATAATTTATTCTATCAAAATAATTCTTTTATCAGGCACTTCATTGTTAAAACTTTGTTTATAAAAAAAAAGTTCAAGGGGAGAGTTAATTGGGGTGAATTTTTTCTTTTGTTATTATAAAATTGTTAGAAAAAAAAAATGTAATTTAAACGTTTTTTTTTCAGGGCCATTTTTCCTGATTTTTTATTAACAAGGTAATTATCATGATAATTCTAAAATTTTTTAAAAAAGTTTTGTTCAGGGGTGCTCAAATAATTAAAACTTATTAAATAGTAGAGAAGAGTTTACAATTATATATACATGACGTAAACTGATTATTATAATGAAAGTATATTTGTATGTAGGTGTATTTAATTATTATATAATACCAATTTATATATCATTCTTATTTAATAATAAAGACTCTAAAAAAAAGAGAGAGAAATTTAATAAAAATTAAATATTATCATTAGATACTTATATTATTATATAATAAATTATTTATATATATATATATAATTCAATTATAGAATAGTATCTTAAATAATAATAAATTTATCTAATGTTAATTGGATACTCATAAATTATTTATATAAAAAAAAACCTACTAGCTCTATTATAATTAAAGCTTTATAGAATAGGAATTATATTTAAATATGGTTATTATTACATTTTATATTTAAATAAGTAATTATAAATATAGAGTTAGAAATTTGTCGTTTATAATTAAAGAATTAAAGGGGGCGTGAAAAAAGTCTAGGGAGATAGTTCATTTAGGGTTAGACCTGGTCGGCGTGTAGTAAAAGTTTTATTTTGGCTTAGGGTTTTTCTTGAGGATTGGTATATATATAAGTTTTAGCTTAAATTGGTTTTAGATAGAGATTTGGGTTTAATTGGTAGTACATAATTTTAAATTTTCATTATTTTGAGATTTAGCAATTGTTCTTAACATAAACAAAATTTGTGCCAGCAGTAGCGGTTATACAAATTATGTAAGTAAAGTTTTTCGGGATTAGTTAAAAGTTAATTTTTTGGATTATAATTTTGATTTTTTAGGTGAAATTTAAAATTGAATTATTTTCTATATTAGTTTTTGAGGCTGTAAAATTTGTTTGTAGACTAGGATTAGATACCCTATTATTTCATATGTGAATTTTTGTTCTTTGATTATTAGTAGTTATGGTCTTTAAAATTAAAAAATTTGGCGGTATTTTAGTCTGTTCAGAGGAACCTGTTTTTTAATTGATGGTCCACGATAATTTTTACTTTAGTTTTTAATTTGCATATCGTCGTTTATAAAAATTTTAAGAGAATAATAATTTTTATGATTTTTGATTATAAAGTATTTCAGATCAAGGTGTAGTTTATATTAAAGTTAAAATGGGTTACAATGAAATAATTTTTGGCTTTTTCAATTAAAATTTAAATTAAATTGGATTTGATAGTAAGTTCTTTATTTATGGGAATTGATTTAGCTCTAAAATATGCACATATCGCCCGTCGCTTTCATTTTAAAGTGAAATAAGTCGTAACAAAGTAGGCTTATTGGAAAATGAGCCTGGAATGATCAAATTAGAGCTTGAGAGAAGCGTTTTATTTACACTAAAAAGTTAATTGTGAGATTCAATTTAATTTGAGTTTAGGGTGTTGTTTATTTTATTGTTGTTAAATTTTTATTGGAAATATATTAATTTTTATTATTTTTATTAGAAAAAATTTTGTTAACTATAGTTTATTGTATTGTAAGAGATTTTCTTTTAATTTTTATAAGTAGATTTAGTTTATTGTACCTTGTGTATCAGGGTTAATTAATTTAGTATTAAATATTTGGTTTTCCCGAATTTAGAAGAGCTATAAGTTAATTTATTTTGTTGTGGAATAACCATTTATAATTGATTTATAGTAGTGAAATGTTATTCGTTTCTAAATTTATCTGGTTTTTTAGGAAATTAATTTAATTATTTTAATATTAGGAAAATTATTTATTGTTATTTTTTTCTTGTTATTATTTAATGCTTGAGGGGATGAGCTTTTAAGTAAATTTTTATAATTTTTTGTTTAGTAAATCTTATGTAGGATTAGAATTTTTTATCATTAGGAGGATGTTATAATTGAAGATTTATTTTATTTATTTTATTTTTATTTTAAATTTTTACTAAAATATTGGTTTTAATTTTGTTTGCTATGTAATAATCCCCAAAATTTTATGGGAAAATGGAGTGAGGCGTTCCTGATTTAATCAATAAAATAAATTGACCCATTCATTATTTTTTTGAGTTCCATGTTTTAGAAAGTCTAAAAAATATGAGTGCAATGATCGATCACAAATAAGAACACATTGCACATTTTGGGTGGAATTTATTCTACAAAATTTTAAGATGTCGTCATCAGTTTTTTGGGGGGAGTAAACAGATATATTTTGATCAACAATTTACCATGCTTACAATAACTTTAAAACGTCTGCAAGATTTCAAAGTATTCAGTTTTGCTATTCTTGATTTATACAATAAAATAAATTTATCGATTCATTAATTTTTTTGAGTCACCCTCCATGAGCAAAGCTAAAAAATTGGCCTAAAGAGTTTAGACAGTACTTCCCTCGCTGTCGGGAACGTGACGACTGCAAGCCTATTATGTCTTTTTTCGTATTACATTTTTGTAATTCTTGATTTAATCAATAAAATTAATTGACTGAGTCATTAATTTTTTTCAGACACCCTGTATAAGCAATTCTAAAAAATATTAATGCAGTGATAAATCACAAGTATATTCTTTACACATTCAAAC